ACATTCATCTACTTTCTAACGTGATGGTCCTTGTTTGGTCCTTGATGATCTTTGGGAATAGTGTTATACATGGTGAACGCTGTCGGTTCCTAATGAAATTCTGAACACTGAACATTCAAAGTCACACGCAAACCTATAAATATATATCTTCAACGACATTGTGTTATTGTTCAAGTAAATGACGTTTACAAAATACGATTTTTTTTCAATTGTTTCAGATTGGACAAAGCGCAGGCCGAAAGGGAACAGTTCGCATATTTGCATCCCCAAAAAACTGTTGAAGACAGATTCAACTTTCAAGGTTCGTTCCGTCAAGTTTCATCTTTTTTTTAAAATAATTGTTCCATTGGCCGGGGTTATATCAACGCTTTGTAATTACAACTCGTGTTTGGAAAGCGCAATGTAAGCACACATGTTAATAGCATCATATACTTTTGATCTACGATGTAGACTGCTTTTTTTCTAGCAAACAAGATGTTATTCCAGTGGTCATCAAGATGTCTCTTCAGCTGCTCTTGCGTTGTTTCTTAATATTACATTTTCACTTGAAAGTCATATTGATTACGGTTGCGTTAAATTTATAATTTAATTATAAATCATCAGTGAGTCAAAAACCTGGTAAAAGAATACTGGAACCATAAGATCTTCAGTCAGTAACGATTACGTCATGACGATGAATTTAAAACCATTAATGAAATTATCCTAAAGGTCTTGGACAAGTCCCTATTTCAGAATTCAGTATGAAAAACCATCAGAGATGGGCATTCCATTGCGGTTTGTACCATTAATGATATCGATTCAGGATATACAGTAATACGTTTGTTTTTCTTCAGCCCACATATTCTTTGATGACGCTCTGGAACTGAACGAGGATGAGAAATGGCAAGTGAACCAGTTCGTGAGGACTTTGGTGAACGCCATGGACGATGCATGCTGGTGAGTGACCAGGGCAGTCAGTGTTAATGCACGTGTGTCTGTAAATGACTTTAAAACTTTAAAACTAAACCCTCTTACTCACTTATAACTTTGTGAGTAATGGACACATTTTTGTGTTGATGTTGTTTTGTAAACGATAACTTGCCACTCACCTTCGCGATTCGTGAGTTTTTAAATCACTAAATATGTACTTTGTATTTCTATTTCACATATTTCAAAACGTTTTTATTCAATATATCTCCTTAACGAGGCGATGGGGTAGCCTAGTGGTTAAAGCTCGCCATGCCAAAGACTCGGGTTCGATACTCACATGGGTAAAACGTGCAAAGTCCATTTCTTGTGTCCTCCGCCGTGATATTGCTGGAATATCGCTAAAAGTGACGTAAAACTAAACTCACTCACACGTCAAAATTAACATCTCGTTTTTTTATCGTTTCAAGAAATTCAGTTAATGCTCGGTTGTCATTGTCATTGTCTCTGGCCTATCGATCAGCGGATTGTCTCGTCGGTTTAATGTATATACCGCCTTTGCAACTGTGTTACTGTGAGAGGCCATGTAATATTTTGTTACTGTCTTCTGTAAAAAAACGGACCTAACAGCGGGTATACCGATTAGTTGTTTGGTTGGTTTGTAGTTTAACGCTTCTGGGACCGACAATCCGGTAATTAACAGCATCAGCATTAATCTACGCAACTCGGATACGATGACATGTGTCAACCAAGTCAGCGAGCCTGACCATCCGATCCCGTTGATCGCCTCTTACGACAAGCATTGGTTATTGAAGACCAATTCTAATCCTGATCTTTACTGATCGATTGGATCGATATGACTTTACATACTCAACCTTTTCACCTGCTGATATCTGTTGTTCATGCTTATATCTGTTGTTCATGCTAACATCTGTTGTTCATGCTGAGTTTTAGTTGTCCATCATACAATGTTCATAGCTATTTTGTCCTTTTCGCATATTGGAATCTGTCTGAAGACTGCTTATTCTCTATATACAGAGTAACGCATGGGTTTATTTGGGATTGCACTTTCTCAGTAAAGTACAGGTACTAGTACTTTTGTTGGGTTGAGTCCCATCGAGGATTCGAACCTTCACTCTCAGAGTCAGGTACCTAATAGCCAGTCCACAAAGTCAACCATCTAACCCACTTAGACGCCATGGTTTCCACAAAATGGAATCCTGATAACTGGTAGTCTAGACTACGGACCTTGTGTACCCCTCTGACAAAAATACATTGGCACGGTACCCTCGGCCTAAAGCTATGAATACACCACGCCATTTAGATTGTGGTCTAAAATAACGCATGTTATATTTGGGATTACACTTCCTCAGTATTGCAGTTTCTGGGAGTTTTTTGGAAGTTGTGTCCCATCTAGGATTCGAACCCACGCCCTCAGAGTCAGCCGTCTTATCCGCTCAGCTACTGCAGCTTTACTGAGAAAGCGTAATCCCAAATTGTGTATTTACAGAGAATAGTTGTTTTATATCATCCTCTTTTCATCTTAATCCTCAGCGCTGTTCATCAGAAGTACATGAAGGTCCACGACCCCTACAAGGTAGTCACACCGTACGGGGCTCAGCTTCTCTGGGAGATGCCCGGAGGGAACCTGCTGTATGTGCATGTTAAGGATAAGAATAAGATCCGACACAGGAAGAGATGTTCACAGGTAACACTGCCACGCCAAGGTCAAAGTTTACTGCTTCATAGATCTAATAGCATCATATCCTGAGTTCATATAAATCTTAAGTGAGATCTGATAGTATTGAATCCTGAGTCCATATTAATCTTAAGTGAGATCTGATAGTATTGAATCCTGAGTCCATATTAATCTTAAGTGAGATCTGATAGTATTGAATCCTGAGTCCATAGTAATCTTAAGTGAGATCTGATAGTATTGAATCCTGAGTCCATATTAATCTTAAGTGAGATCTGATAGTATTGAATCCTGAGTCCATATTAATCTTAAGTGAGATCTGATAGTATTGAATCCTGAGTCCATATTAATCTTAAGTGAGATCTGATAGTATTGAATCCTGAGTCCATAGTAATCTTAAGTGAGATCTGATAGTATTGAATCCTGAGTCCATAGTAATCTTAAGTGAGATCTGATAGTATTGAATCCTGAGTCCATATTAATCTTAAGTGAGATCTGATAGTATTGAATCCTGAGTCCATAGTAATCCTGAGTTAGTAATCTTAAGTGAGATTTAATAGTATTGAATCCTGAGTCCATAGTAATCTTAAGTGAGATTTAATAGTATTGAATCCTGAGTCCATATTAATCTTAAGTGAGATTTAATAGTATTGAATCCTGATTCCATATTAATCTTCAGTGAGATCTGATAGTATTGAATCCTGAGTCCATAGTAATCTTAAGTGAGATCTGATAGTATTGAATCCTGAGTCCATAGTAATCTTAAGTGAGATTTAATAGTATTGAATCCTGATTCCATAGTAATCTTAAGTGAGATCTGATAGTATTGAATCCTGATTCCATATTAATCTTAAGTGAGATCTGATAGTATTGAATCCTGATTCCATATTAATCTTAAGTGAGATCTGATAGTACTGAATCCTGATCCCATATTAATCAATACAACCGGCAGTGAGACCTTTTTAAATTGTACCCGTTCGCCACGCCGAAGACCCGGGTTAGATTCCCCACGTGTTTACAAGGTGTGAAGCCCATATCTGGTGTTCCCTGCAGTGGTATTCCTGGAATATTATTGCGGCGGTGGGTTGGTTTGTTGGTTGACGTTGCACTCAGCAATATTCTAGCTTTATGGCGACGGTTTGTAAATAATCCAGTCTGGACAAGTCAATCCAGTGTTCAACAGCATGACCAATTGGGATGCGATGACATGTGTCAACAAGTCAGCGAGCTTGACCACCAGATCCCGTTACGAGACGCATGGGTTCTTGAAGGCAAATTCTAACATGGGTCTTCACGGATAACAAAGTAATAGCAAGGTGCTTGGTTTGCAGGTGATGTACATGTATTACTTACTGGGCTATCAGCTACTGAAGGAGTCTGAAGGCGACATCCTCAAGAAGGCACGGGAAAGAGATGTAATGAACAAAGACGGTGTGGCAGAACTCTTCAGCATCGATGTCCAGAAGAAGGTGGGAAGGAATTACAGTGAAACACCGATGTATCGAACTCTTATGTGTCGAACTTACGTTTGGTTCGAAGTAAAAGCTCGATCCCTGCTTATTCCTTATTTAGTCATCAGTTTGGGATGCTTGCGTGAGACCTCCACGATGTTTCACTGTAAGAATATGTTTGTTGGTCAAGCAGCAATATGACTATACTTTGTAAACGAACCGCCCGGAGAGCGGAAGATCGCGGGTTCGGTCGCCAGCCACGTCATACCAAAAGACGTTAACATATGGTACTTTTTGGTCCCTGCCTGGCGCTCGGCATTAATGGGTACAACAAGGACTGGTCGGCTACTAGAGTCAGTATAATGTAGGGTGTTCATGCTTGACTGCGGCATGGTTTCTCAGTGAGCTGGCACTATAAAACCAGCTTAAGTCTGGGCTAGTACAAGCAGCCACACATACACACGCCTGCACATCGTCATATGAGCGAAATGATCTTAAGTACGACGTTAAACCCCATTTCACCTCATCATTAGTAAATGGATCTGAACCGGACATTCAAGTGACGTTATGAACATTGACTTACGTAATTTATGTATGATGTCATGCATCAATCAATGACGTAATCCTAACTGGTCCTGCTGCAACCATGTTGTGGCTGTACTGTTCAGTGATGTGATTAGGTATGATACTAATGATTCGCCTTTCGCCTATAGTTTACCTGACATTCCGAAATCTGATTGTTCCTGCAGACCAAGAACACCTTCGTCCTGGCTCTTGACGGAGACACTGACTTCAGTCCGAGCTCGGTGAGGATTCTGCTGGACAAGATGAACAACGACAAGGTGGCAGCAGTGTGTGGCCGAATCCACCCGATAGGTTCAGGTAGGGTGTCTATATTAGGTTGAAATACGAGGCCGAATCCACCCGATAGGTTCAGATAGGGCGTCTGTACCAGGTTGAAATACGTGGCAGAATCCACCCGATAGGTTCAGGTAGGTTGTCTATATTAGGTTGAAATACGTGACCGAATCCACCCGATAGTTTCAAGTATGAACTCAGTACTGTGTTGAAATACGTGGCCGAATCCACCCCATTGATTCAGGAACGGAAACGGATACGTGATCGAATCCCACCCGATAGGTTCATGTAGGTTGTCTATATTAGGTTGAAATACGTGGCAGAATCCACCCGATAGGTTCAGGTAGGTTGTCTATATTAGGTTGAAATACGTGGCCGAATCCACCCCATTGATTCAGGAACGGCAACAGTACAAGGTTAAAATACGTGACCGAATCCACCCGATAGGTTAAGGTAGGTCGTCTGTACCAGGTTGAAATACGTGGCAGAATTCACCCGATAGGTTCAGGTAGGGCGTTGAGTTGAAATGTTTCTGTACCTGGTATTGTCAGTATTTTACAGTGATTCATAAACATGGTTATTATATAGTTTGAATCGTACGAAGTCAGTTTATATTTTGAGTTTATGTCATTCTTATTACCAATTAGCGTTTTCTATGCTGACATGACCCAAAACCAATATCTGAGTAGTTGTGTTTGTTGGTATTCATGGTGCATAAGGGGGCGGTAGGGTAGCCTAGTAGTTAAAGTATTCGCTTGTCATGCAAAAGACCCGGGTTCGATTCCCCAACGACATGCGAAGCCCATTTATGGTGTCCCCCGCCGTGATATTGCTGGAATATTGCTAGAAGCGCGTAAACCTCAACCCACTCACCCACTCATGGTGCATAAATCGAGTTCCTCCCAAATCAAATATGTTTTAAATAAAAAGGCTAAAACTTCCTTTTCCTTTTTGAGAATATTGTGTCGGCGAATATTTTATGTAACTGTACGACATCCATGTCGTGTTGTATCTGTTTCCCAGGTCCACTTGTCTGGTATCAGATGTTTGAATACGCTGTTGGTCACTGGCTACAGAAATCTGCCGAGCATGTCCTAGGATGCGTCCTTTGCAGTCCTGGGTGCTTCTCCCTATTCAGAGCCTCTGCCCTGATGGACAACAATATCATGAGGAAGTACACAACGATGCCGACTGAACCGGGGCATTTCCTGCAGTACGATCAAGGTGATTGACCAGTGAAGGTCAGGGTTAGAATATTGTAAGTAGCCCATGCTTGTCGTAAGAGGCGACTAAAGGGATTGGGTGGTCAGGCTCACTGACTTAGTTGACACATGTCATCGTATCCAAATTGCGCAGATCGAGGCTCATGTTGTGGATCACTGGATTGTCTGGTCCAGACTCGATTATTAACAGACCGCCGCCATTTGGCTAGAATATTGCTGAATGCGTCGTAAAACTAAACTCAAACTCACGAACTCACTCACGAACTCAACACTCACTCACTCACGAACGACTCACTCACTCCACGAACTCACGAACGAACGAACGAAACTTTGGTAGCCATACATTTCCTGAATTTAATCTTGGACGCATCTAAAGATTTGGGCAATCATACTGAAACCTTTCGCTGATAGTAAAACCCACTAACGACATCATCATCAACGTTATCATCATCAAACTATGTACTAACTGAATCCATCCCTCCAAACCAGCAAAGCAATGTTAATAAACATGACAAGTTGCTACTTTAAGCACAGGCGATTCAGACCCTACCATAATCATATTTTTATGATTCACTGTCCAACACACCGCAGGATCAGAATATTTGATGTTCGTTTACTATTCCAGGTGAAGACCGATGGTTGTGCACGTTGCTGCTCCAGCAAGGGTACCGAGTTGACTATGCTGCTGCCGCTGACGCCTACACGTACGCCCCAGAAGGATTCAATGAGTTCTTCAACCAGAGAAGACGCTGGACTCCCTCCACACTGGCCAACATCATGGACCTGCTGGCATCGTCTAAAGTCACTGTCGCCCGCAACCCCAACATCAGCTTCTTATACATTATATACCAGATTGCAATGATGGCGGGAACCGTCTTAGGACCTGGCACTGTCATCATGATGATTGCCGGATCAATCCAATCCGTGTTCGATGTAGACCTGTTGATTTGCTACGCAATATCAATATTGACTCCAAGCGCGTATATCGTCATCTGTTTCACAACTCCAGCGAAGATACAGCTAATAGTAGCGGCTGTACTGAGTGCCGCATACTCTTTCATCATGATGGCTGTCATTGCTGGAACTGTGATTATAGCCTACACAGTGAGCCCTGTGCATCCAAGCGATATCTTCTCAGTGTTGCTTTTCGCCATGTTTGCTTTAGGAGGAGTGCTGCATTGGAAGGAGCTGAACTGCCTCCCCCATTGTTTTATGTACTTTCTCTGCATACCGACTGGATATCTACTGCTATTTATCTATTCAATGTGCAACCTCTTCAATGTCTCCTGGGGAACTCGCGAAGTACCGAAGAGAAAGACCAAGAAAGAAATGGCAGCCGAGGCAAAAGCCTTGAAAGCGAAAGAGGAAGAGGCGAAGAAGAAGGATGGCTATTTTGCCCGACTCTTCTTCAGTTCCACTTACATCAAAGAATTCAAAAATCTTATTGACGGAATAAAGCCAAAGTTGACCAGTTCGAACGATGCAATAGTAGAACAGTTGAAAGTTATAAATGAAACTATTGTTAGGCTCGCTGAGCAGCACATATGGGCCAATGATAACATAACAAAGTATATAAACCAGTAGTATATGACCAGTTCCTACAAAGTATATGTGAAAATGACCATCTCAGCAGACAGTACATATGGGCCAATGATAACATAACAAAGTATATAAACCAGTAGTATATGACCAGTTCCTACAAAGTATATGTGAAAATGACCATCTCAGCAGACAGTTCATATGGGCCAATGATAACATAACAAAGTATATAAACCAGTAGTATATGACCAGTTCCTACAAAGTATATGTGAAAATGACCATCTCAGCAGACAGTACATATGGGCCAATGATAACATAACAAAGTATATAAACCAGTAGTATATGACCAATTCCTACAATCCAATGTAAAATTTCTAAATGACTTCCTAAAAGATGACAGCACATTTATTTCTTATAAAGAATTCGTAGAACTGTATGGGGTTAAAACAAATATCCTGGAATATACAGGATTAGTATCTTCATTGGAAACATATTCAAGACAGGGTTCCTTCAAACTGAGTATTCAGAACAATTTTACTTTTATTCCTCCTAATTTGGAAACACTATTTGAAGGTAAGAAAGGATGGACAGAAGGACTCGCCCGAACACCTCCCGTTCATGGACATTCTAAAACGTTCGAGCGAACGCGCATTTGAAATTGACATTTTTGCTGCTGCATCCCGTGCAGATTAGCACGTGGCTGCTACACTTCGGTTCTTGACTTGTATGAGAGCAGTCATACTTTGGTGACCGTCTCCTTGTGTGTCTTTCTGATATATGAATTTGAAGTAACTTTTGAATATTGTGTGTCTAATTTGTAGACATTATTTGAGAAACTTGAAATTTGATAGTTATTGAAGAATTCATTGAACGCATTAGAGATCACACATTTGGTGTCTCCTTTGTGTAGTGTCGTATTTGGACACGCCTTTGTAAAGTTCATATTTGTGAACACGCCATTGAACAGTGTCATATTTGGACACACTCTTATAGTGTCATATCTGGACACTTTCTTATAGTGTCAATATTTGGAGACACATATTGTGTCATAATTGGACACATCATAATTTCTGTAAATATATTTCTACATATTGGGGATTATAAACTCTTGGGAATAAAACTGTAAAAAACTACAGAAAAGTGCTCTGTTGTCCCTTGACTACGTAATTTACCAGCTTCCACTGCGTTCCAAAGGATGTAGCATATTTTACAACCGGCTTCTTCACAAGGAGGTTATAAACCAAAAGCTGCTTTATGAAAGTAAATGGGAAAAAGAATTGAACATAAATATCACACTTAATCTATGGAAAACACATAATGTTATTCCATTTTGAGCATCTTATAGTGCTAAGCACAGATGGCTTCAATACCGTATTATCCATAGAATCGTCACAACAAATAAAGATTCATACAAATACATTCTAATAGAATCAACACTTTGTACATTTTGTGTATGTTGAAATAGAATCGATCATTCATCTACTATATGAATGTAAATATGTCAAAAAGCTGCGGGAAGATCTACTAGAATGGATTGAAAATGAAACAGACATTTGAAATTATACGCAGAAACCATTATTCTCGGATTCAAAGATAGAAGAAATGATGTACTGACTTTCATTTTCATATTAACTAAAGAATACATATATTCTAGAAAAGCAGCAAGCATTGCACCTTTTCTCTCTTTTCTGAAACCAAAATTGAATTACAATTACCACTTACATAAATTTAATGCCTACTCTCAGTGCAAATACGGCACTTTTGCTTCATTTTGTTCGTCTTGCCACAATCTATTCATATAGGCAATGGCTGTAATTTGACTTGCTATATAATACAACAAATATGCCGACCTGTTAATCGGGTATGAAATGCTGTACCCAGATCAAAAAGAAATAAAGTGATAAAAATCATGTCTATACATGTACACAAGTCCATCGACACATGTCATCGTATCCCAAATTGTGTAGATCGATGCTCATGGTGTTGATCACTGGATTGTCTGGTCCAGACTCAATTACTTACAGACCGCTGCCATGTAGCTGGAATATTGCTGAGCGCTGCGTAAAACTAAACTCACTCACTCACTCGCCCACTTTATATTGACAGTCGTTGTTGTGTCTTCACACTGGGGTCAGTGTAACGTATAATTTAAAAATATAATATATATAACCATTTGAACTGTGTGCTGTCGTGTGTACAATTCTTCCCTTCAGTGTAAAAAATTACATTCATATGTAATGATTTGTACACATACCTTTTTCTAAACAGTTAATGTGTCAATTAACGGTTTAGAAGTAATACGATAACAGAACAAATATACGGATCTCACAAGAAATTGAGAAACTTATTGAACGTTATAGCAAACTGTTTTGTGGAGGAAAGGTTGTTGATATACCATAGCAGTGTCTTTATCGTGGGCACTATCAACAAACACTCCGTTCGTGTTAACATGCATCAACCACCGAGTAAACACAGGTGTCTTCAAGAAGGGGAGATCTGCACACAGCATGCAGTCACGCAAACAATGCATATCATACGGGTGATCTAATGCACTCGCATTTTTTCTTCCTTTTCGTGGTGTTGTTTCGTGGAGTTCCGTAGCGACGAATAACACAAATGTGACATTTGATAGCTGATATATTATTACATCACCAATGACCTTATGTGCATAAGTGATTTCCAAGTGGGAGAGATAGAAAACGAGGGATGTGTGAGGGTGTCCGTACCAGTGTGAAGGTGTCTGTACCAGTATGAGGGTGTCTGTACCTGTGTACCACCAACGTGGGAAGAGGGACACAGAGGCGGATAGATAGAGAGACACCAAAGTGGGAAGAGAGACACAGAGGCGGATAGATAGAGAGACACCAACGTTGGAAGAGGGACACAGAGGCGGATAGATAGAGAGACACACCAAGGTGGGAAGAAGGACACAGAGGCGGATAGATAGAGAGACACCAAAGTGGGAAGAGGGACACAGAGGCGGATAGATAGAGAGACACCAAAGTGGGAAGAGGGACACAGAGGCGGATAGATAGAGAGACACCAAGGTGGGAAGAGGGACACAGAGGCGGATAGATAGAGAGACACCAAAGGTGGGAAGAGGGACACAGAGGCGGATAGATAGAGAGACACCAAGGTGGGAAGAGGGGCACAGAGGCGGATAGATAGAGAGACACCAAGGTGGGAAGAGGGCACAGAGGCGGATAGAAGAGAGGGAAGAGGGACACAGAGGCGGATAGATAGAGAGACACCCAAAGGTGGGAAGAGGGACACAGAGGCGGATAGATAGAGACACACCAAGGTGGGAAGAGGGACACAGAGGCGGATAGATAGAGAGAGACACACCAAGGTGGGAAGAGGGACACAGAGGCGGATAGAGAGAGACACACCAAGGTGGGAAGAGGGACACAGAGGCGGATAGAGAGAGAGACACAAGGTGGGAAGAGGGACCAAAGTGGGAAGAGGGACACAGAGGCGGATAGATAGAGACACACCAAGGTGGGAAGAGGGACACAGAGGCGGATAGGGAGGACAGAGGCGGAGAGACACACCAAGGTGGGAAGAAGGACACAGAGGCGGATAGATAGAGAGACACCAAGGTGGGAAAGAGAAGGACACAGAGGCGGATAGATAGAGACACACCAAGGTGGGAAGAGGGACACAGAGGCGGATAGATAGAGACACACCAAGGTGGGAAGAGGGACACAGAGGCGGATAGATAGAGACACACCAAGGTGGGAAGAGGGACACAGAGGCGGATAGAGAGAGACACACCAAGGTGGGAAGGGACACAGAGAGAGAGACACCAGAGGACACAGATAGATAGAGAGACACACCAAGGTGGGAAGAGGGACACAGAGGCGGATAGAGAGAGACACACCAAGGTGGGAAGAGGGACACAGAGGCGGATAGATAGAGAGACACCAATGTGGGAAGAGGGACACAGAGGCGGATAGATAGAGACACACCAAGGTGGGAAGATGGACATAGAAGCGGATAGAGAGAGTTTTGCTGATATATTGCTGAGTGCGGCGTAAACCTAAACTCACTCACTCACTATTAATGTGTTAAATCATGTTTATCCTTCGCCCTTAAACAATAGCATAGCATCATGAATGTAGCTGTCACTTTAGACATTTATTTATTTATTCTTTTTGTCTTGATACGGTACACTAAATTGAGTTTCATCCCTGATGAACTGGGGGCGGCGGGGTAGTTTAGTAGTTTATACGGTCTCTCATAACACCGAAGATCCAGGTTCGATTCCCCACACGGGTGCATCGTGAAGCCTATTTCTAGTTGGGGCGGTGGGGTAGCCTAGTGGTTAAAGAGTTCGCTCGTCCACGTTGGAGACCTGGGTTCGATTCCCCACATGGATAAAATGTGTGAAGCCCATTCCTGGTGTCCCCAGACGTTATATTGCTGGAATATTACTAAACGAGGCGTAAAACCAAACACACTCACTATTTCTAGTATTGCTGGGATGTTATATTTATATGCACTTACACACTGAGAAATGAGCCAATTAGAGAAATGAGGCAGCTGAGACACGTAAATGATTCTTTGCCAGTATACAATCGTCACGTCTGGATATCAAATCATAAATATAGTATCATGGGACGACCTGGCATAGGTATGGGTCATTCGCTAACGTCACCGTTCAACTTCCTTGTACAACCGACCGCCTCCTTGGTGTAGTGGTTAGAGCGTCTGCCCGAAGAGTGGAAGGTCGCGGGTTTGATCCCCGGCCACGTCATACCAAAAGACGTTAAAATATGGTATTTGTTGGTCCCTGCCTGGCGCTCGGCATTAATGGGTACATCTAGGACTGATCGGCTCGGAGTCAGTATAATGTGTCTGAGCGGGGTATTCATGCTTAACTGCGGCATGGTATCTCAGTGAGCTAGCACTATGAAACAAGCTTAAGTCTGGGCTAGTACAAGCAGCCACACATACACACGCATGCACGTCGTCATATGAGCGAAATATTCTCAAGTAAACCCATTTGACCTCACCTCACCTTGTCCAACCCAGTGACGTATTTAAGATTGGCTTCTATAATTTCTAACGGCGCACAAGAACTCTGTGCAGTAAACATTAGTCTGTGACTATCGTGTTTCATGTACACATGTTGTCCCACAACGAATACGCGTTTCTTCATCACGCGCTAGTAAGCTTCAAAACAACTTCTCGGAGAAGGATAATCTATGCGTCACATTCCTTGAGACATGAACCGGCAATCAGACTCCATTGTTGGAGGGGTAAGCTGTAGCTCTCATCCAGAACTTCCTGGTAGAGCAGGTGACCTTTGACGTAGGACACACACAACTACCTGTAGTCGGCCACTTTAGGGTAGAAGTAACCCAATACCCGTAGTTGAATATACGTACTTAACCGCGTTGGTGACAGGAAAGGAAGGTGGTGTGTGTCTGTGTGTGTCTGTGTCTGTGTGTGTGTGTGTGTGTGTGTGTGCGTCTGTATGTGTGTCTGTATGTGCGTCTCTGAGTGTGACTGCCTGTGTGTGACTGCCTGTGTGTGACTGCCTGTGTGTTACTGTCTGTGTGACTGCCTGTGTGTGACTGCCTGAGTGACTGCGCGTGTGAGACTGCCTGTGTGACTGCGCGTATATGTGACTGCGTGTGTGACTGTGTGTGTGTGTGTGTGTGTGTGTGTGTGTGTGTGTGTGTGTAGGTTGAGGGAGGGATCACTCAAGAGAAACGGAGAACTTGTTTAAGCAGTACGTTACCAAGGCAACGCCTCTTTAACACCTAGTGACATCACTGACTTTCAGTGATCCTTTCATATAATTGTCACAGCTATTTTTCCCTTTACTTCAATGGAATTCGTTTCTGAGGAAAGTCAAAACTGGGTATTCTTTTGCACTGACGTTCAATTTTATATTACTACTCTTCTTCAAGATAAAATAACACGTTCAGGTATCACCATGTTAAAATGTTTGTTGCAATGAACGAAAATACATCAGCGAATGAAACACATGTAATATAATATGACGCAAAATTATATTGATATCATATAAATTTGTATAAAGTATAATAATAGTTCATGTTAATTAAATTCCTAATTCATTACACAAGATTAATTGTATTTAACACATTACACAATGTTAATCTTAGACTACCATTTGTACAATGGGTGTTTGATAAAATATTAACAATTATGCTGCTAGCATTTTAAAGTAGGTGCATGAAAATATTTATCAGGGGCGGATCCAGAGGGGGGAGCGCACCCCTCCTCCCCCTCTCCCCCGAAAAACATGTTCCCCGAGAAGCATATCCCCCTAACCTTTGGACTTCATGATTGATGTGCATCCTCCCCCCCCCAATCCTGGATAGGCCCCTGTGTGAAGCCCATTTCTGGTGTCCCCCGCCGTGATATTGCTAGAATATTGCTAAAAGCGGCGTAAAACTAAACTCAGTCAGTCAGTCAGTCAGTCTGGATAGGCCCCTGTTTATGCATAAAAAACCTGCTCCTAAACACAATGCAGTATATTGAGAGTCCCTACTGCCTCAACTCGTTAAATACCAGTTGGCAGCAGTGACAATTTCATCGAATACTTAAATCAGCCTTGTGACACCACTCCCCTTTATGTATGTCTCGTCTACATTACGCATTGTCACTGGAAGCTTCGCCAAGGATTTGAACTTTAACATCGACTTGTATAGACCACCTTGAATTCCTAATGGACGTGTATGGTTGAGCAATGATTAAACCTGTCTAACAGGGCGCATTTTAAAAGAGTATATCTGAAACTCTCCCATGCTTGTTATCAAGAACAGATATGTTCAAACCTTCCAGTATGGGCTAACCTACCAGTATGTAAGTTAACAAATCCTTCTCGCATGGTTGTGATATGAACTGGAGTGACTATCCAGACTAACATCTACTTTTAGAAAAGATTAAATTTTACAGAAAAATGTTCTTACGTGTAACATCAAGGAGACCTGGATTTTTAGACAAAGTGAATCTCGCAAATATGCTAATATGCTCTACCTACCACATGGCCATGGGTCGTTAGTGTTCATATCAATGACGTTGTTTATAGGATTGTTTGGTGTTTGCATGTAAGACTGTAGTTTTTCCCCCAAGAATCGCATTCCGAGTATTAACGCTACATATCATCTTCCAACCAGATGCATTGTTCCGAAGAGACTTAATGCTGTCAAGCTTCGCTGCATCGACATTGTCGTATGCTGGGAGCGTCACGTGACTCGATGTCGTCTGCTCACATTTCGTCAGTATACAATCCGAGTGCGGGTTGTGATGGGATTGCCTGTACTTGTGGCTCGGTCCAGGAAGAAAGCTCCTGTGTTTATAGAAATGTCAGGAATTACACCTTGGTGACAATGGCAGTCGATGTTCCAGAAGTTGGTAAGATATTATCAACGTCATTAATTTCATTTTAAACGTATGTCGGCAATATGATGTCGCACTGGTTCAAAATATACGTTACAATACAGAGCAAATATCAGTCTATAATCCAAACCATTTCTTACAAATTGTAAATGACTTAATAGTAACCAGTGTCTTGGGCGTAAAAAGTAACCAGTTTAAGTAGCAGTGATTCTATTTGATTTTGACGTCTTGACAACTGATGACGTCGCAATGGTCTGCAAAGCAATTTTATGTTGTTTTATTATCTCACAAGCGATATCTCCCATGAACAGTTTGAGATGACAAGTATGTTATGATGAGCTTCAGAACACCATACGTATATTTGCGCATATATTGATTTGATTCGTACACTACGTGACTATTTTAACCTTCTATTTTAGTTGTACGTGATTATATGTACTTGTGTGTACAGTCACGCGCAGTGTATGTTATAGTATGTGAGCTCGTTGTATTGAATTTAGAAGGTTCTGGGCTCAGGGTGAAAAAAAGGACTTACATATTCCATGTACAATTACACAGCTCTCAAAGCTGTACCCTTAACAGTGTGTCTGATTCTCGATGCAAGAGCATGTTTTATCAAACAGTATCATTTTTTTGTGTTTTTCAGAACGGACCATCGGAATATAAGTGCTTCTGTCCAACAAGAACCGTCTGACGTACAAGCAGGATACAGTATATTTTAGCAACATTAACTTTCACATGAAGGATTTAAACATGGATTAACGAATACAGAACCCATGATGCCTAGCCGTGGCAGCAGTATACGTTGGAAGGACGAAGAGCCCGTCAGTGACCTGACGCAACTGAGTCGACTTACAGAAGCCTCTGTTCTACATGTACTCAAGGAGAGATACGAAGAGGACAAAATATACGTAAGAAGCTTTCGATTGATCTACCTTCACCTTACCCACATGTCTATACATTCTTAACACCCGTGAAGACCCGGAAGAGAATCAGTCTTCAGCACCCTGCTTGTCGTACGAGGCGACTAACAGGATCGGGTGATTAGTCTGGCTGACTTGGTTCACACATGTCATCGTACCCTATTGTGTAGATCGATGCTTGTGCTGTTGACCACTGGATTGTCTGGTCCAGACTGGAATATTAACAAACTGACGCCATATAGCTGGAATATTGCTGAGGGTGTCGTATACAAACGTATACAAGAATGTTAATGTATTTCATTCTCTTTCAAGGAAATTATGTACCCATGTTTGGTGGAGGCTGAAACTGAAACAAAACAAGTAATTGGTATTCGATTGTGTTTTGTTTCACGCGGGTATCATAGTTCTGTTTTGGACGTAAAGTTTGTTGTGTTTCGGAAACTGTTTTCAACCTGGTACTGTTTCGAATCCACTCATTTTCAGGTGTATATATTCTTTGCCTGTCACTGCAATTATTCATGTACACAAACTATTTACAATTCTAAATGAACCAGTGACCCTTTATCTTTGTCTTCATGGACGGTTGGGAAATGTAGGAAAGATTTCGTCCCTTTCAACTTAAGATGGTTGCAAGATGCGATTTAATGGTTCAATCGCATCCCGATTTGGTTCCTGAAGTGCCATAATACCCCCAAGGCTGGGCTTAAAATCGATCATTTTATTGTCTGATCTTGACTCAATTATGTAAAAATCACTGCCATATAGGTTGAATACTGGTGTAAAGCGACAAAAAATGATATAACAATAACATGTCCTCTTCTTAGTTGGGAGGTTTCATAGCTGTAGCTGGTCCCGATATTGATCAAATGATTCGACTAAATTGGTCAACAGGTTTTCTTCAGTCCATGTGTGTTTGAGAACGTAAAAATGGTTTAATTGGGTGTAAGAATGACATCCCATTATCACCTAATCGATGACTGAACCGCCTCCGTGGTGTAGTGGTTAGAGCGTCCGCCCGGAGAGCGGAAGGTCGTGGGTTCGATCCCCGGCCGCGTCATACCAAAAGACGTTAAAAGATGGTACATGTTGGTACCTGACTGGCGCTCGGCATTAATGGGTACAACAAGGACTGGTCGGCTCTGGTCAGTATAATGTGTCTGAGTGAGGTATTCATGCTTAGCTGCGGCATGGTATCTCAGTGAGCAAGCACTATAAAACCAGCTTACCACACACGCATGCACGTCTTCATGTGAGCGAAATATTCTTAAGTTCGACGATAAACCCTATTTCACCTCGCCTCATCGATGACTACGTTTATATTTGTTACAGGACACCATGACCTAATTGTAACCTCACGTTCACCACCTTTATAGAAATAATATTTCACGGCGAATCGGTAAATCGATTACCGTAATAACCATATTATGATCATGAATATAAGTATTGTATATTTCAAAAGAGACTGTAAGCTCAACGTTGACCCCATTCATTGGGAAATGAAGGGCGGTGGGGTAGATTTCTGGTCAAGCGTGCGCTCGTCACCGTTCACAAAGCTATCGTAGCGCTACGACTGTCGTAAGTCTATGTTACAGCATAGGAGGTACGACAGTCGTAGCGCTACGATAACTTTGTGAAGTGGGACCAAGGGTCCTGATCCACAAAAGGTTCGTTAGGCTACGGCATTCGTAAGCCTATGATGAACTATAGAAGTACGACAGGTCGTAACGTTACGAACGCTTTGTGGATCGGGGCCCAGGGCCCCGTTCCTCAAAGCGATCGTAGCGCTACGACAGTCGTAAGTCTATGTTAAAGTATGGGAGTTACGATCACCCTAGCGCTACGATCGCTTTGAGGAACGGGGCCCAGGGCCCTTATTCTCGAAACGTTCGTAGCCCTAAGAATTCCTAACTTTGATCGTAGCCAATGTGTTAAGAAGTTCTTAGGGCGACGAATGTTTCGAGAATAGCTAACCTGGTTCGGTTCCCCACATTAGTACACTTTCTGGTATTGCTGGCATATTTTTAAAAGCGGCCTATAACTATTCTCAAAAAGGCACTCTCCCATAGAGAAATGAACTGACGCAGACATGTAAGTAATTCTTTGGCGGTACACAAGACATCGTCACGTTCTCGATATCTCATTACAAATATAGTATCCTCTGAATGTCAGGGATTTCAATGTGTCATTCAGTCAACTTCCTGGTGGAGATCCGAGAAAGCGATACTTATAATAACGTCACCACTCCACTGGAACTAAGAAAGTCCAACCCAGTAGACCGTATCCTAAAGTCGCCATCCAGAGAGAAATGGTTAACCGTTACTATTCATGATCTTAGTCACAATCTGTCGGTGGCTGGCCAAAATATATCACAACAATTTGACAGAAACTATCAACGGTATTGATTCAGTCAAAAGTTAGAAGATAAAGCTACTCTGTTTTCAATGTTGCGGTCTTTTGTCGTTGATTTATAAATAAATAAATGAATAAATAAACAAACAGACAAACAGATCCAAAATATACTTCCCATCAAAAGTTTAGACTCACTTAAAGTACTCACTATATGTTATGGTTACATCGAAGATGAATTTCTCCACTAACTTGGGGGAACCAACTGCCAACCTTATGCAGATGAATTGCACGAGGATCATGCATCGAAATGCTGAAAAGCATGTGAAAATATCGTGCATGTGAACAGCTGTGTTTTGGTGTAAATTTTGTTAAGAATTTGCCAGTTTTTTTCATTTATTAAACTCATGACAATAATTATTTCAACGTTACGAACTTGTTGTACAATACATCAGTTCATGTGTAAACAGTACCTTTAAACAGAATGAAATATTTTGCAAAATCTAGTTTAGAACAGTTGACTGAAGTAAGTGGCTACATTTACACTAGTGAGTCTAAACTTTTGATGGGTAGTGTAGATATAAAGGCAGATGCATGAATAGAAATATACACCGATTACTAGGCGGCGAGGTTGGTGTGCAGGTATATAGGATTCCTTTCACAGGGAATTTATGAGTAACCCACACTGTATTGTTGAGAGAAGTTGCAACGTCAGACTGGGAGTGTACGCGTTGTAATTGGCACTGAATACCCTAAAGGGCACAATAAATTAGTTGTCAGTTATCTTAATATCTAAAACATTACTTGGGAGACAACGTATTTTTTGTTTTAAATAATCACTTTTGTTAATTACTTTGAACAACTGTTCAAGACATAATTGTGTACATTTACGTCAACAGACGTAATTTCTAGGGGCATAAATGCTTCTTTGGGCAACGTCTGTGGGGAATTTTATCATGAAAACGAAAAATGTCGAGCACACGTATTCTGCCTCTGCAAGCACAACGGAATTATATGTGACGGCGTGAGATCCTTTGTAGTTAGACGGGCAGGCTGAAAATCTAAAAATTACATGTCAAGGCCTAAAGATAGTGACATAGAGACAGGCATAGATCGTAATCATTGTCAGTCAAAACGGGTATCCGTTCATGCAGCGATCTAAACATTACACAGTGTACATAATCCCAGGGTAGCCACCCGTTTAATAATACAGGGAATACAATGCGTTTCCCAGAATAGGCAGGGGGTGGATTGAGGGTGGAGGGGTGGTAGGAGGCAGTAGTTGTTGCTGGATTCACTCATGTGACGTGAATATTTAATGGGTCTTCCGGGTTACGATAAGTACTCACTGAATAGTCGCTGGTGGTACTTACCTTGTAATTGATTTTTGGCATTGAACGGCAGCAAGTCAATAGTAATGGAGTTTGATCGATATATCAGCGTATACACATGGTTATGCAGACACGAATAAAGAAGTTCACGAAATCACCCTCATATACTTAACACTGTGCTATATGTCAAAACACCTTGTCAAATTGACGTCACAGTCGGTAAATATTCCGCCCAATATTAAGCTTTCTGTTATCCTTAAAATGCGAGTGATTGGGTGAGTATGGTTTTACGCCGCTTTTAGCAATATTACAGCAATAGCACGGCGAGGGAGTCCTGAAGTGAGCTTTACACATTGTACTCATGTGGGGAATCGAACCCGGGTCGTCGGCGTGATGAGCGAAAACTTTAACCACTAGGCTACTTCATCGCCCCCTTAAAACGTGACATAACTCGTTTCTGGTTGAAATGCATTGCCAAACATACTTTGAAGATTGTAGAAACAGCAACCCCGTATTTGAACATAAAATTGTACATGTCATTTCAAACTACCTACTATCAATGACTTAGAAACAATACATTTCTACAAATTCAAGCATCCTCAGTGATACGGCCATCAAATCAGCTGTTTGAATCAGGGGAGGTCATTGTAATTTTAATGCCTTTGATTGGCCAGCCACAATCGAGTATTCAAACAAACAAATCCATCGTAGAATTTGTATATTTTCATTTAGAGACTTCGGACTTTGATTCGACACTTGTACATTTCATAAACCTGACACGACAACGGTTTTGAATGTGGATCAGCATGCACAAAGCGATCTTAGCGCTAAGACGATCGTTGGCCTATGTTTAAGCAGGGATACTCTACAACATATATAGTCTTATATAGTCTCCCTGGTTTAAATATAGGAGCAACGATTGTCGTAGCGTTAAGATCGCTTTGTGACAGCGGGCCCTGAAAAATAAATTAGGTGTCGAATGGAATCTCTTAATTAGACATGTCTACATCCATTGTACCATAACGCACAGACAAGACAAACGTAAACGCTGTCATTACAGCAGAAATTACCTGTGATTTATCATCAGTTGCGTCTGTAATTTGCAGCATCTTGAAAGGACGAATCCAGGGATCAGTGGACATCCTAAACTTCCCTTTAATTATGTTAGCTCTTTAATGTTAACCATTAAACTCAGCACGACACAATAAAATCCCACATAAAGAAACGTGTTAGCAGTATCTAAAGAGACATTTCTAGACAAACAGAAGCGAAATACACACCTGTATAACAACTTCAAACAATTCTACCTGT